CTAGACCCTCTAGGCTGAAAATAAATTAGGGAGGGTAGCTTTAAGATTAGGGTGAGTCTCCAGGAAATGAATGTAAGTCAATGTAAAGTCCTCATGAGGAAAGAGGAATGTGTGTGAGTTGTATTGTGTGTTTGCTCTGTCAGTCAGTTGAACTGCATCCAGTTGTTCACAGCCCCATCACTATCCCATTTCCCTGTGGTCCGAAGGAAATCTGATAACTCTTTAATTTCAGGGGGGGGGGGGAAATCTGGCATTGTTTCACATCATATCTATAGTTACAGCCAAGAAAATGAATACTGAGTGGGGGTATAGTGCGCTGCATGTGTCAGAGGATGTATGATTTTCTCCCTGCCTCATTTTTGCTGAGAGCAAGTCACATGCAGGACTTTGACCTTGTTTTGACTTCTAACCACTTGGTGTAACTTGCACGAATGCAGTGTAGGTCAGATGCATATTTTCCAGAATTTTGACTCAGAATTAATCAGTGGTAACTGACCTATAAAAAAATGAGCTGTGCTACTGTAGTTATGATTTGCAAATGAGCAAATTAAAGCTAGCAAACAACCAAAATATTGTTTCCTTGTTTCCTTGAAACCTAAAAAATGTGTTGAATGCTTTTGCTTTCTGATTGTTTTAAATACTTTTCTATACGACTATTGTTTTTTTAGCAACATAAATACAACAGGTAGTAACCATACAAATTCATGATATCATTCTAATATTTCAGTCTCTTCAGATAAAGTGTGTTTGCCATCTCTTTCAACCACTAAGTGACAACAATATCCATTTTCCACAGTTTTAAGAGTAACATTTTAGCAGTTACCATCTCATATTAAGATAAGATACGGAGCATGTAACACTAAGGATGACTATCAGTGTAGTGGGCTCCCAGTGTTCCCTAAAAGTCCAGGAAAACCAAAAAAAACTGCTTTTCTGTATGGTTTAGTTCAAGACCAGATAGAATGGGCTTGTTTGAAATATTTTTTGAAACCTGCTTAAGTTTACATCAACGAGCAGTCTCTTTTTTCCCACCTTTTGTTGGCTATATTATATATAACTTATACAGTAGGTGATATTATGTCGTGTGTCTGTGTGCTTGTTGTGGACTTCATTTGCCCTACATTTTTGGCCATAAAAGTATATCAATGCAGCAATATACAAGAGTTTTTAGTAGACTCAGTACATAGGAGTAGTGCATGAAAGCAGGCATTATCCCACCAACTTTCAGTTTTTAGACATTGTCAGCTTCACTTTATTTTTCTTTCTGTAACTCTAAACTCTCACCTGACTCGCTGTGTAACTGCATTTCACAGTAATACCTGTGCATGCATGTGTGCGAGAATGGGGTCCTGACCCTAGCACGTCATGCTGCTTTGTCAGCTCTGAGGCTTGCCTAACCTCTGACCTCAGTGCACATACACACCCCATACACACACGTGAACACTAGCCTGGGCTTGTGTGTGTCATTATTACCCTTAAACCCCTGGGACTAGCAGACACAATTCTAGACTGTGTGTGTATGTGTGGGTGTGTGTTGCGGAAGTCCATGTAAACATGTGTTTGCTGAAGGACCCAGTGAATCACACACTTCAGTGCTGACCAATCAACAGAGAGGAAGAGGATAAAGGATAGACTGAGGATAGACCACAGGGCTTGGGAGAAGCCAAGGAGACGTTCAGAGAGGAAAGTGTAAGAGGAAGAGGTGGAGGAGGTGAGAGAGAGGCAAATGAAGAAAATGACAGAGAGAAAGAGAGCCAGAGAGGGGTTGCAGTTTCAGAGCTGCCATGTCCAGTCTGTAAGTCATTTAATTTTTTTTTCTTTTCCATGTGTGCATGCATTGCAGAGTGTGCAGCTGTGTCTGTGTACATGTGTGTGGAGAAATGTAAGCTAAGGTTTAACTTTAAAAGAGGAAGAGATACATGTTGGTTTTTGCTGCCAGCAAGTTATTTTATATATATGCAGATTTGTTTTTATGTTACAAGCAAAGTTTGTTTTGTTAGCAGAAGTAAATCTGGGGTTTAATTTTGATTGACTTGGGTTTTAAGAGTTTAAAGTGTTTCCCATGTTTCCACTGCCCTGAAAAGCATTCCAGTGGATCCTTAATATGTTAGCCCTTGAACACCCACCCCCCTATTTGGGGTTTATCCACCTAAATAACATGCCAGGGCCTGTGAGGGCTACATTCATTGCTCTGCTTCCATTTAAACAGAGACAGCTTTCTGGATGTATTATGACTGAGCATGGCAAAACAGTGTAACACGATCTGTGACCCCTTAAAAGGCAAGAAAAGATCATTTGTATAGCACCTTTCAACTAGACAAAGTGTTTTACGTTAATGAAAAAACATTAAACGATTGAATTTAAAGGAGTATGGTGTACTAGAAAATAAGAATGGGCTAAAATAGAATGAAACAGGAGAATAAAGTCAAACACTTTTGAGCCATGATCATCGCTGACCAACAACTAATTGATTTCCTTGTTTTATTAGAATATTTAAGTCCC